CCCCTGGAAAGTAAAAACTGCCCCCCGCCGACACCTGAGACCCCCTCCACTGGCGCCCGCGAACCCGAAGACACGAACGCGAGGGGCCAGCCCGTAGGGACGTTTTTGTCACATTTCGACGCACCAGGCCCCCCTCACGACAATTTCGACGTGCAGCCATCGTTTGATGCGCGGATCGAACAGCCGCGCGTCAGCGCGCGGACCCTGCACGGAAATCCGAAAAGGAAGGCCCGAGGGGGCCTCGTGTCCCGCGCGCCTACAAATACAAGCGACGCCCTGGCCATTGACGATGCATTCTGCGTTTTTGCTGGGGAGATGCTGCCCGACGGAAGCCACGCACCGCCACTGTCGTCAACAGCTGGCGCGCCATAGCTGGCACAACCATTCTTCACCACGCACGTTTCGTGGCACCGACGCACCCCACATGCCCTTGCATGTCCCTCCGCCCACCAAGTCGCTGTCCACGTCATATTTGACGTCGCTTCCGATCTCATTTCTCGGAAGACGCGACCGCCACCCCATGCAGCACCCCAGCAAACGCGAAGTGCACGCCCAAAGGTGGACAGAGTGCCGTCACGACAAACGCCGGGGTTTGCGCTCATCTTCACTCGGCAGTTCTACATGGTGAGTGCGCACGCTGTCGGGATGTATGTTTGCATGTGCGTGCGTGCGGGGGAGGTTGTTTGTGACGATACGCTCGCGCAGATCGAAAAATTTTGTGGCTGCATATGTGCGAGTGGGCGTGTGTGTGTGTGTGTGTGTGTTTGTGTGCGAGTGTGTGTTTGTGCATGCTTCATTGTGTGTGTGTGTGTGTTCGAGTGCGTGTTCCTTTGTGTTTGTGTTTGTATTGAAGTGTGTGCCACACGCGCGAGGCAGGATCGTGCGCGCGTCTGTACCTGAGGGGCGTGTGTGTGTGGGCGCTGTGTGTCGGCGCGTGTGTGTGGGCGGCGTGTGTCGGCGCGTGTGTGTGTGTGTGTGCGCGTGTGTGTGCCTGCCTGTGCATATGTGTTCGCGTGCGTGTGTTCGCGTACGTGTGTTCGCGCACGTTTTCCGCTGGGAGATGCGAGCAAACGTGCGCGGTCAGGGATGAACGTCATGGTTCGCCCTTCGTTGCCGATTGTGTGTGGATGTGTGAGCATGTGTGAGGAGAGTATCAGAAAACGATCGCGCTTGTGCTGTACTCAAGTCGCGAAGCACGGAAGCTCGGATCGAACACGTGGCGGCCAATACCGAAACACAACGTCATCGTAAGCACTTGCCATACCCGATTGGTTTTGTGTGCTGTCCCAATGTCATGTCCGCCGATTTGCCCAATGGATGATTAATCGAAACACGCGTTGGCAATGTCAACGCAGCGAATGCATCCATCGACCAATCGCGAAACACGATGGATCCCTCGCGATCGGATGATTGGTTGTGTCTGCCGTGTCGACGTTGCCACCGCGTGTGTGTTCTTCTTTCTGTCGTGTGTGTTCAGATCACTCGTGATCTGATGGTCGATCAAATCCATGACAATATGTACACCACACACGTGATGAACCGACCCATCACGAAACACAAGCCGACCACTCGCGATCCGGTGATAGATGTTGTTTTCTGCCCCAACAACAGCGCCGCTGATCTGCTCGACGGATGATTAACCAATGCACGAGGCGACAACGCATCCAACCGACCAATCGCGAAACGACAGAAGATTACTTGCGATCGGATGATTGATCGTGTGTGTTGCACCGAAGATCAACCCGCCGGCGAGCGACCTGTTTATTTACCCACCTGACAGTCCTCGACCGAACAGTCGATCGGTCAGGAAATCTGCCAGGATCAATTGATTGGTTGACAACTCGGTTGGCGATTGCTCTGCTGGTTGATCAGCCACCACACCAACCGCCAACCGAGCAGTCGATCAACCAATCGACTATTCTGTGCTAATTGATTGCGGAGAACGATCGCGGAGAATCATCAAGGCAAATGATCATGTGCACGATCGAAACCGGCGAACGAAACGCACAACCGATCGAAAAAACGTCGATCCCGATCTTCGAACGAATAAAAAGCACTTCGTCACAATCTTGTTGCACATTGAACCTCGTATAACATCGAACCATGCTGCCCATGGAACCTGGCTCCACATCAAACCTCGGCGGGCGTCGAACCTCGTCGGACGTCGAACTTTGGAGGACGCAGGGTCGTCGACACGTGACGGTCACTGCACGGCGAACGTTGAGCACCCACCACCCCACGCGTCGCCGACACGGTTCTCGTGATCGGAATGTGGCCGTCCCAACCGAACTGATCGCTCAATCAAACACCGGAAGAAGTTGGGATCCTCGCGAGCTTGTGCAGCTGTTCGAACACGCTTGTCAACCCCGGTGCGCAACCACAGCCAGGGACATGGAAAATTAGAAGTCCGTTGGGATCCGAACTTCAAGAAATTGCTGGACGGCGAGTTTGACAGACACGTGTGCATCTCCTACGCAATTTCGCCAAGTTCGGATCCCAACGAACTTCATGCAGCTGTTCAAACACGCTTTGCAACCACGGTCCCCAACCACAGCCTGGGACGTGCAAAAATTGGAAGTCCGCCGGGATCCGAACTTGAAGAAATTGTTGGACGGCGAGTTCGGCAGACAGGTGTATGTCTCCCACGCAATTTCGCCAATTCCGGATCCCAGCAAACTTCATGCAGCTGCTCGAACACGCTTCGCAACCCCGGTCCGCAACCACAGCCTAGGACGTGAAAAAAAATAAAGTCCGCCGGGATCCGAACGTCAAGATATTGCAGGACGGCGAGTTTGGCAGACAGGTGTGTATCTCCCACTTAACTTCGCCGAGTTCGGATCCCGGCCAACTACAGGTTCCTGCTGGCCTGCGGATCCAAACCTCGCTCGCACTGTTCCTTGCACACTCGTCGAGTCCGGACCTCGGCGAACCTCGGATCCGTGATAATGCGAAGTCCGCTGGGATCCGGACTTCTACTGCACGGTTCCTCGCACAGACGTCAAGTTCGCACCCCGGCGACTTCGCTTGTCTCAATGTGCGGGTTTAGAACGCGGGTTTCTAGCTCCCGGGGTTTGGCACAACTTTGTATTTTAAAAAATATGTAGCCCGTCGGTTGTTTCTCTCCCACGCGGTCTTGAGAAGTTCGGATCCCGCCGAACACCCTCCCGTGGATCCGGACCTCGCGTGGTAAGTTCGGACCCCGGCGAACTTCGCATCTCGCATGGTGTGGGTTCTGACTGTGTCCTTTCTCGCGAACGGGTCTTTGCCACAACTTTTGATTCGCAAAAATGCGAAGTCCGCCGGGATCCGTACTTCTCGTGCAAAGGTTCCTCGTCCCATCGTCGGGTTTGCCTGCTGGGCCGTGGATCCGAACCTCTTGTCTTCCTTTCGCAATGCATGTAGCAGGAGATGTTCCTTTCGCAAGTTCGGATCCCGGCGAATTTGCCAAGTTTGGATCCCGACGAATTTGAGTTGTCTTCCTTTCGCAATGCACGTGGCAGGAGATGTTCCTGCTAGGCCGTGGATCAGAACGTGCCGTGCACGGTTCCTCAGACAATCGTCAATTTCGGATCAAGGCGGACTACAGATTCTATAAAATGCAAAGTCCACAAAGATCCGAACTTCCCGTGCACGGTTCGTCGGAAAACCGTCGACTTCGGACCCCGGCGTGCTTCACCTTTCGGGTGGTGCGGGTTCTGACTGTGGACTTCCTGGCGACCGGTGGATTGACACAACTTTTTATTCGTACGAAATTGAAGTCCGCCTGGATCCGGACTACTTGGCAGTTTTGGACGTCGGGTTTGGGAGACAGCTTCGTTTTTCCCGCGCAGTCTCGCCAAGTTCAGATCCAGGCGAACATGTCGCGGGGCGTGTTTGCGGCTGGCCCGCGGGCCGGTAGATGTGAACACCGACGAAGCCGGCCACCCGACATCGAATCTTGGGGCATAAATTGCGTCTAATGCCACAAGTCGCACATCGCTAGACATGACGAGTTTACAAGTGTCTCCGTGCCCGTGTGTGTCGTCGGGCATGTGCGCGTGGTGTGCAGGTTGCGTGATGGAGGGGACCTTCTCGACACCACGCATCTTCGAGTCGATCTTCTCGAGACCACAGGCCATGAGTGCCGAGACGCAAATTCGCTTAGCAGAACCTTTTCGTCCTTGTGCGAAATCCGTGCGGCATTTCAATGGTGTGACAACAATCCACTGAGCGACCGCAGAGGACTTCGACGAGGACCCATGGATGACCGTCGTTCCGTGCAGGGACACGCATCTTGACGACTGGGGCGAGGGCAATTGGGCCAGTATGGAGAGTCACTGCCCTTGGGCAAGCTAGTACAAGTTCGCGAATACGTTGGAGTTCGGGGACCTCATCCCACTGCTTGACGCCGTCCTCGGACATAAGTTCCTGAACCATATGCGGAAAGCACTAAGCTGCATTAGCCGCTATTTCAGTCGCGTCGAGTGCCACAACGTCAGGTCGTCGCCACGAACTTGGGGTGGCTCGCGGAAACAAGAGTTGGTGGACTGCGCTCGTCGCTGCTCGTTCCTGGACCAGTACCCGCTCCGTTGCCCTGGGATTTCTCCACGAGCTGTGTGGTACTGCTGTGTGCGGTTGACTGTGTCCGGATGTGATTTCGCCAGAGTTCTGTGTGTCGCTGCTTCGAACAAGAGCAGGAAACTTGTCGACGCAGTTGTGCTCGTGTCGCGCAACGAGGTTGTGATTGAAGGGTCCAAATTCGTGTCGATGCGTGGGCCTGAACGTGTGGATGGGTGGCTAGATCTGGTGATAGCAGGTCAGGCTCGAAACTATTCGTTGTTTCGTGAGGTTGAGAAAAAAGTGGCTGACATACGGGATTGCATAGGAAACTCCTTGGCACGACCAGGGGTGTTTGTTAGGATGAAATACATGTCCGTTTTTTCAAAGATTGCATCGGTCGACGCACCGCAGACCCGCATCTACGGATCGTCACTGAATGCTTTGTTTGGCTTCGGTTCACGACGTCGTCCCGGAGGATCCCCAAATGTCGCCGCATCCGAACCGGTCTTTAGTCTTTCTGTTTGAGGGAAAAGAAAGGCGAGGGACGACATTTCAACGGTTGTGCTGCCTAAGATGTCAGATTTGTAGGACTGCAGAGAAGTGTGAGACTCCGCGGTTGCTGGTACACGCTGCACCGCGCGCTTGTCATGCAAATGCCTGGTCGTCGTTTGGTTCAGTGACATGACGAAAGTCGTGTTGGACGTCCGTCTCTGACGCCGTCTCCTGCCATGTCGTGCCCCGACGAAGTTCGGATCTCGGCGAACTTCGCGTTCTGGCCTCTCCGTTAATTTGTCTGTGGTGTCATTGGCGTCGGGCGGGCCGCGGGAAAGACCCGTCATCGCGGAAGGATCTGCCCGTAACCGGTTTTCGCCCGCCCACCATCAACATGTACCAAACAGTCGGTCACTGTCGTAGCGAGATGCCAAAAGCACTCTTAGAGATCCCTGTCGCAAGGTCGCGCGAGCTTCGCATTTCCTGAAACCCGTTGGAGATCCCGGTTGGCGGGCCCTCTTGTTGGAAATCCCGTTGGCACCGTGCTAGGACACCTTGCTAGGACCCCAACTTTCTGTCTAACTCTCTCGCAGCCTCCTGAAGTTCGGATCCCGGCGAACTTCCTGTGACGCCTGTGTATTGAACGGGCACTGGGCTTGATGATCCCCCGTGGATTGCGACATGAGTCAAACCCTGATCCACAACTGCTCCCCCTGGGACTCATACAATGTTGTCGCGGCTGCTCGTCCGAACTTGTCTTCATCCAATGCCAAGCTGCGCATATCAGAAGAAGTTCGGATTTCGACAAACTTCTCCTTCTCAAACGGACTTTTGTGTTAGTGCTGGCTTTCCGGGTCGTGGTTCAGTCAAATATGTGTTTCTCTAACGCCGTCTCTACCTGTCGCATTTTCCTGAAGTTCGGATCCCGGCGAACTTCACGTTTCGGTGGGTGCGTTGGTTTGGCTTTGGACAGACACTTTTAGTACGGATGTCGGCGAACTTCGCGTCCTGAACTGTCCGGGTTCCTATTGCTAAACGGAGGACACTGCCCCGACCAACGCGGGCTTTGTGCGTCACCACCCGTCCATTCCCGATCCAGTGGACATCCGTGTTCCGAAAACATGGACGTGGTTGTCGCCCGGTTGCATGAAGCGTGTGCCCTTGTAAAGAATGATCTCGTTGCAGGTAAGAGGTCATTGCTGGTCTTCGCGTTCGAAGTTCGCCGGGATCCGAACTTCGAGGTCCTCGGATGGCGTCATGTGACCGACGTGTTGAGGGCAAGGTGGGCCTCCTGTGTTTTCCGCTTGCGTTGTGCTTTGACTGCGATTTGACGCTCGCTGGTGTTTTATCCGTTTTCCATTGTCATCCGCAGACAATATGTCTTCGTCCAGGGGCGAAGGGGAGCCTGCAGCGACCTCTGAGATGGGATCTGGGAAAGATTCTACAAAACGGTCGTCTACGACCTCGAGGACGTGGTCCGACCACGCTAGGTCGAAATGGTTCGTTGGCTGGTGCTCTGCTGATGCTACGAACCCAGTCCAACAGCCGTATGGTCCTGTGATCTTCGTCGAAGCCAACAAGCACCGCAGGGTTATGGGGGCTGTCTTGCGGTGGGAGAATACGAAAGGCAGTTGTCGACTGTTCTACATGAAAAATGTGTACGGTTCGAAGGGGAACGTCGTCGCCGGTGCCAAGGGGGCAGTTTTCGACATGTGTCTATTCGAGGGGTTCGGAGCGGGTGCTGCGAACACCCCGTTCTACAACGACCTCCGGCGACAGGGCGGGTTTGTTTTGGGTCGAGAGTTCTTCGACCTGTTGGAGGACAAGGACATTGCCCTCGACGTCCCTTGCGAAGTCGGTCCCGACCTGGAACTGTCAATGCCTTTGCAGCCGTGCGGCGGTTGTGAGTCGAGCGGGGCAGCGGGGGAGGGGGGGGATCTGGGTTCCAGGGAGGCTACACATGTGCAGCGAGAGGATGCCAGAGGTCAGTTTGACGACAGTGAAGATGAGGCGACACCGCGTCCTCCGTTTCCCCGTCGAGGGAAAGAGACAGGTCCGTGTTGTCCATACCTGGGGTCCAGCAACAGACCGCAGCGGATCCCGGAAAAGAGGGAGTCCTGTGTGGGGCTGACTTGGAGCCCGCCGAGGGCCATGGCGCGGAAGGCGAGGCCGTGGGCGGGGAGGGAGCGCAGGGCACTCCCCAAAAAAGGAGGGGAGAATGTTAAGAAGAGTTGGTGGGCTCTTTGAAGAAACAGAAGACCAAAACCCCGAGGACTGCGGGAGAGAAACGGAAGGGGAGGGGGGTGGAAGAGGGCCACCCGGGTAGCAAACGTCCAGCTTCGAAACATAAACAGCCTAAGTCGGGACCTTCTTCACCATGGCCTGCCATCGACGTGGACGCCAGGTACTTCCTGGAGTACAAAGACGGCGTCAGGACAAGGCGGGAGTTTGAGATCAGCCCGGCTCAGATCGTTGACATAAGGGAGTGGGAGGATCTTTACAACCAGCGGTCGCTAGATCCCGTCCTCGTGGAAACGATAAGGGAAGCAATGCGGTCTGCGTTCGAAAATAAAGAACAGACGTACGAGTTGCCGGTCTTCAAGCTCGCACCACTGGGGCTTCAAAAACCAAATCCTGGGACCAAGGCACAACGTCTGAAGCCGGAGGAGTGGAAGGATGAGCTGGTCGGCAGCGGTGTGCGGGCAACACAACGCGGCTGCAGCCAGGTCGCTGCTTGGCAGCGAGGTGGCCAAGAAGTACAATTTCGAGCGGTGGCCGGCACGGATGGTGTACTTTTCCGACGATGACTTCGAAGGGTATTTTCTTGTTCAAGCACGAGAAGAGGCCGGACGCTGACTGGATCCAAAGGTACCCTTTCCTGAAATCGAGGTCTGCCGTGTTCAAAAAGTTTGAAGGTCAGGGATTGGATGACGAGTTGTGGGATAACGGCAGGAAACACGTTTCCGACTTGGCGTTGTTCAAGGACTGCCCGCCGTATATGGGTTGCGACCAGGACAACTCGATTGAGGTGACGGAGAAGTTGGCGGGCCACAAGAAGTTGTCCGTCGACTGGAGAAACAAGGTTCTCTCCGTGTTGAATGGAAGCAGACTGAAGAGCCGGAAAGTTGCACTTGCCGAAGGCGTCGTTCACATTAAATGGAAAGACACGGGGGACGTGACATCCATCTCGCCGTTCGCCAACAACCCTTTAGAGGCGGACATTAGGGGCGCAGAGCTGAAGGAGGCAGTGACTGCCACAAAGAGCCACACGTTCGTCCTCGATCTTTGCGAGCCGGTTGACCTCAAACTGTGGAAGCCCCAAGCGTGGGAGACTTTGAATTCCTATCTTCAGACGTGGTGTCCCTCGCATTACACTCTCGTTGTTTTCGTGCCGCGGCAGCACAACCTGTCATTTCTCGCCAGCATGCACCATCTTTCTTTCGTCAAGCTGTTGGAAGGGAAGTGGGTGCGGAGAGTGTAGCAAAAAAAAAGCTTCCCCATTGGGAACAATTTGTACACGGAGGAAGACCGCATGTACATCCTCTTCAAGGGTGACGATCTGCGCGTCAACACGTCCGTGGTCTACGAGGGAAACTTGCCCACGGGTGCAGCTGCTGCGGTGCGACTGCCTCAGAGGGTCACCCAGACGGATGTGTTCGAGATTCCTTTCACGCCTTGCGACTGGTCGCTGGTGGCGCCTGAACGACAGGGCAGCGTCTATGGGGATATCGAATGCAATCCGACCCAATTCGTCGGTCTTCTTGATTTTCTTGGCAAGAAGGGAGAGGGTGTCGTGTTCCTTGCGAAACCGCACGCGCGAAGCGTCTGGGAGCTTCTGAAGGCCGGTTGGGACGTTGTCGCAATGGAATGGAACTTCGACCTCTTGCAATTCATGATGCAGGTGGTGAAAAGCGAGGTCAATTCGAGTGGGCACAATTGTGAGTTCATGGTCGTGAGGCCAACACGGGATAAGGTGTGGAGCAAGAAGACGGATATGTGGTTCAAGTTGAGCGAGAGGAAGAGGAACAAGATATACGATTTCTTGTTCCCTTAAACGCGTCTGAGGAGGGATACTGACGCTGAGTACACCCGCCGGAAGGACCACATGTTGGCACTGCTCGACAACTACCACTTCGCCTCCCGCATGAACGTGAAGACGTTTATCGAAAGGCTGCAGTCGCTGTACTTCGTGGAGTCCAAGGAGCAGTTGAAGTTAGCCAGTTACGCTTCCCTGATCTCCACTGACGACGAGGAAGCCATAGATGTGGAGTTTGTCGCCAACGCGAAGGAGGAGGAGAGCGACATGGAGAGCATCGACCTGCAGTACGACCCGCCTCCGGCGGACCACGGACGAGGGTCCTCGTCAGCCGGTCCATCACCAAGCGCTACAGCCCTCATATCACCATTGGCCAAACCGTTGCCGGGCACCACGCCGATGAAGTTGCTGGACAGACTTAGAGCTCTGGCCGCCCCCCCGCCCGCTTTGCGTCCCGGGTCCATTGTCCCGCCCGATCATCCGTCTTAGAACGATGACAACATCCACTTCCTGCTTGAACCGCAACGTCATTCACCTCAGCAGGACTGGGGCCATGACATGGTTTGGCATGCGGGAGTCATCCAGCCAGCGAGTGGGTCATGGCTGTGGCAATCCCGAGCGCGGGATGGGTGTCATTCCCACGCGAGTCGAAGTCAAACTTCCTGCATCTCGCGAGGATTTCGGTCCTCCAGAAAGTGAAGGTCGAAAATGACACTTTACCACCCGACGACCTGTCCCTCATTTCCACTGCCGGTCGACTGTTCGATGAGCTTCAGGACAAGTGCTGGTTGGAATTGACGGAGGACTACTACGAGCTCGACACGAGTCCGTCGAAGGGCGTGGTGGACTGGAAAGTGTCCCCTCCCAATGGGTCGGACGGTGGTTCCGGGGGGGGGTCACCTGGAGGCGGAGGGGATGGGGGTGGCGACGCAGGGGGTGGCAAAGGAATCCCGCCTATGGGGGAGAGAGGGTCTCACGGCCGCAACACGACACCGGGAGGCAGCGCCGGGGTGGCGGGTTTCGCCGTCGACAGGCACCCGGCTCGAGCACAAGACACACTCCGCCGACCCCCAGACTTCGTCCGTGGGCTGAGCGAGGGACACGTTGGCAGCCTTGGTTGCTTTGGGCAGTCGCTCGGCCGGAAAGCCGAAGTCCGCCGAGATCCGAACTACGTCGGGTGAGGAGCCGCCAGAGCGGTCCGGAATGCGAAGCTGCTCGGGGTCGGGGGATCCAAGCACGGATCGAGAAATTCGCAGCATTGTGGCGCGGGACGGAGACGTCGGTTCGGTGTCGCCTGAGCGGGAGCGACGGCCGCAAGGATTGCACCGGGAGGCTGCAAGTGCAGGGTCCGGCAACACGGAGACCACGAAGTCCGTCGTGATCCGAACTTCTTCGGGCGGGGTTTGTCGGCCAGGGATTGTCGTGTCGTTGAGAGGGGCATCGTGCACGGGGACGGAAGGGCGGTCCTCGCGATTCGGCACGGGTACCGCGGAAGGGGACGAGTTTCGTGGGAGGGAAGAAGGGGAGGAAACGGAGGAACAGAAGGGAGCGCAAGAAAGGGAGGAAGAAGGGGAAGAAGAGGTGGAAGGGGAGGAAGCGGGAGAAACGGAGCTAATTGATTTGTTTGAAGGAAGGGAGGGTGCCGGGTCTGGAGAAGACGAAGTGGAACACAGTGAGGACGATGCCGGATCTGGAGAGTCGTCTGACGAGTTCGAACAACTGTACGGAGAGCATCACGAGGATGATGTCGACGACGATGCCACCGCGATAGAGATGGAGACACAAGTGGTCAGCAGCCTTTCCGCAGAGCCTGAAGATTATGCAGTCCGGCCACTGACGTCTGCTGTCGACTTGCAGCACCGGTTCGACGAGGCTTCCGTCGCTATCAGCCCGTCTGAAAAAAGTCGACGTATAAGCATCGACGAAGTTATCGACGGTATCCTCGGCGACCACAACGTGTCTGCCCGTCCGTCCGCCATTGCCAACGTCGCATCTTCCGTGGGAGCTGCCCTCGCTTCGTCGCTGCCGAAGTCTCTGGTGCTGCAGGCCACCCTTGCCGTCGAAGGGGAAGGCGAGTGCGGTGGAGGACAGCATGTGACGTCCCCAAAAAAATCAAGGTTCGGCGGTCAGGCTCTCGACGTGCGCGCTTTGCCTGCGCCAAATTCACCATCGAAGGAGCGGAGAGAGAAACAGACTGGTAAGCAGTGAAGAACGCCTGCGCATCCGGATGTCGCCGGATTACAGTCCGCGCTATACACACGACGACTGTCCACACTGTCTGTGCATACGGGAAGTTCCGGATGCCGGCATTCTACAGCCAGCAGCCCTTCCTACTCCAGCTCGTCGGCCTATCTGTGACTCGGCCGGGTTGCTAGTCGAGGGCGGCGAAAACTTCGTCCAAAACCTCACACTCCATTCAAGGAAGATCTGCCCTGGCTGAGGAAGTGGCCAAGGTGCTAAGAAAGTGGCCAAGTACATGGACTGACAGTTTTCCCTTCTCGGGAATAGTGCCGGTTTTAGTCCGCCGGGATCCGAACTTCC